GGACCTGATGCTGGGTTGTTGCCCTCCTACGGCCTCCTCCACGTCTCCTGATGTACTGTCTCCTGGTAGTGCCTCCATGCTCTGGACACTACGCTGACAGACACAGCAAACCTTCCTGCCACAGCTTGCATTGATGTGCCATCCTGGATGAGCTGCACTACCTGTGCTACTTTTGTGGGTTGTAGACTCCGTCTCATGCTACCACTAGAGTGAAAGCACCGCCAGTATTCAAAAGTGACCAAACCATCAGCCAGAAAGCATAGGAACTGAGAAGTGGTCTGTGGTCACCACCTGCAGAACCACTCCTTTATTGGGGATGTCTTGCTACCTGCCTATGCTTTCCACCTGTTGTCTATTCCATTTGCACAACAGCATGTGAAATTGATTGTCAATCAGTGTTGCTACCTAAGTGGACAGTTTGATTTCACAGAAATGTGATACATTGTGTTGTTTAAGTGTTCCCTTTATTTTTTTTAGCAGTGTGTGTGTGTGTACACACACACACACACACACACTTAGATGTAGTTTAGGATTGCAATTCCTCTTTCTGCAGCCATCTGACATTGTGGGCTGGAGTTCAGCTTATCCTTCCTCTCTCCCTGCTACGGCCCCCTGGGCAGCTCTGCATTTCTTCTTACTGAGGTTCATCTTCCTGGTTTCTGCCCGTTCTTCAAGCTTGTCAAGGTCCCCCTGAATCCTGCTTACAATTTCCTACCTTGACTTTGTGTTGTCTGCAAGTCTGATCGTGATCATCTTATTTTCTAACTCGTCATTCAAGTCATTCATAGATACATTGGTCCAAACAATGTGGTTAGCAAATGTAGCTGTAAATATTGACACCACCACATTCCATCTGATGGCTGGCATTTGTCTTTAAACGCAGCATATGTTTAAAAAAAGAAATCGTCCACGTAATCATTTGATTCAAAGTCTGCTTCCATCCAATTTTTTCATATTACCATCTATTTCCCAATTTTTAAAATTGGGGTTCCCCATAAATCAATGGGAAAAAGTTTAATCTTTTTTAACATATTCATCATTTTCTGAGATAATTTTCTGAGAATATATGCATATTCCAAAATTGCCTTAATCAGAAAATTAAACCAAATTTATGTTTTCTAGTTAATATTTGACAATAGGTCAGCAAGATAGTATAATTTCAAATTTGGAAAATTGAATCCTGCCTCATTAATTGGTAATTGCATTTCCTGTGAAGATATATTCTGAATTGAAGAATCCCATGGATTTTTTTTAATAAAAAAATTATTTTCTCTCTCTCTTGCTCTTTCAGCCCCAGGAAGAAGGCGGCCAGGGGAAGCCATTTCTGAATTCTTCCCAAGTAAACTGCAGGGGCTTGTCCAGTCAAGGACCACCAGGAGTCAACACAGGAGAAAGAGAAGGTTTTGGCCCTGGGTTAAAGAGCCAGCCTTTGAATGTAGAACTATAGCACAGCCTAAACTGCGCTTGGCCGTTTCCAAAGTCCTGGGAAGGGGAGGGCAGCCTGGGCCCCAGTGACGTCACAGAGGCCCAGGGTTCTACCTCGCAGTATGGCAGTTGGAAAGCCAGCTCCAAGGACCTCGTGGAGACTCAGAGCATCCGGTCATCCTGTGGGTACTATGAACTAGCACAAATGCAGTATATTGAGGGTTGGTTTTTGTTCTCTTGTTTGGATCTGAATTAAATTCCTGAAGATTAAATAAGCTTCTGCTTTTTCTATAGCTCATGGTGTTGATGCGTATTGCCCTGGAGAGCAAAAATTCCTGGCCAAGTTTTGAAACTCTAATAGCCAGAAATGCAGATAGCATGAATGAATTATAAATTATCTATTAATGGCCTAAACAAGTAAAGGGACAGGGTATACATCTTTACTGGGTTTGTTTCACTTACACTGTCAATATTTCTTTACACTAATGATTTTATTTTTACTTTTCTCCTAAATTGAAAGTGTCTTTTGTCCTAAACAGATTTTCATGTTCTAGAGGAGTTTCTGCAGGTCTACAATGGGCTAGGGTACTACAGCTGTCATCATCCTAAGCCAGGATGGGAAACTTACATCCCTCTGAGTTCACCCTATGCTGGCGTCCACATTAACCCTCCCTCCCTCGTGGCCATGCCTGCCTGGAACGCAGTCCACTCTAGAGGGAGCTGTCCCTGTTTTGCTCAGGATACGGATGACTTTTCTTTGTGCCAGCTCTGTTCCCGTCACTTGTGCCAGCTCCACTCAAGTCCCTTGAAGGAGAGAGGTCTTCACACCTCTCTCTCTCTCTTCACTTTGCATAGTAAGCTCTTGTGGCCTCTCTCATTCAGAGTGCCCAATATTAATTCTTCTGTTCAGATGAATATGGTGGCTTGGGAATGTTAGAAGTGCAGCAAGCTATCACATGGAAGGATCCAGTCAAGACCAGCAAGGAATCGGCCAAAACCTTGAAAAAGCCAGACAAAACCAGGATGGTACCCATCAACCATATAGCCATCAGGTGAGGGAGGAATGGAACTGTAGCTTTCCATGACCTGCAATGCTTATGGGTCTTAATACTAGTGGTAGGCATCCAAGGAAGGTGTGCAAACATAGCAGCAGGAGTGCAGATTTCAAGGATGAGGGAATCATTCCAGGTTTCTTTTCTTTTTTTTTAGTAAAAATTTGGAACAAGGGAGAAGTGTTCCTGAAACTGTAAAATGTAACAATTAGGTGAATTTCCTTAGGCAATGCCTCTTGGCACATGAAAAGCCTTCATAGGTAGGAAAAGAGAAACAAAGATATTCATTTATATCACAATGTTGGAACAGTTTTAGATACTTTACAGCACTAGATAAAAAGTGTTCATAAAGCCAAATAAGATCAGCTGTTGGCAGTAAAATTTATAGGTTAAATTTTGCCATTTGGAATATTTTCAAAATGTAGACATGTGTTCTTTTGCTGTGTTCAGTAGTAATTGAAATATACCCTATGGTTTAACTGCAGGCTGCTGCATCCTATCCATGCAATCTTATACATTTTACTGTATTCTGTACTTCTTGTACAGAATTGAAGCTCAAGATTCCTTAAAGCAGTTTCTGCTATTTATGAAACTATTTATGTTGTCTGTGAAGTATAAATTGGATTCACCCATTTTGTAAAATTTTCTCCAAAATTCATGAAATTTTAAACAGAAATGTTCAGTTCAAATTGTCAAAAGCTTTCTCTGCATCTAAAAAGATCAACGCAGCTTTTCTTTTTCATTATTTTATGTTCCAAATAGTCCAAAATACTCAACACAGTGCCAGGATTAATCTCTTCATGGATATTTTGTAAAGAAAAACTGGAGTCAAGTATAATTAAAAATAAAGATTTTGCTAGCCGGATGAAAAATTACAAGTATCCCACTTATGGACATATATTGATTATCTAAGATCGTCTTCATTTGCCCTTTTTAAAGGTCATTCATTAAGGCTTTATTTTTTAAGGAAACAGCTAATCAAGCTTTCCCTGCAACCAAAGAGGATTGGCCTGGGAATTCTGAAAACAGGTAGGAGTTTAAAGCCCATCCAGATTATAAGCCTGGTCAGATATGTCCTTGCCAGCTCTTTGTTTATGTATAAACGCAACTGTCGTTGGCCAGGAGGTTCTGAGAGGTGCGCCTGGCCCACCGATCCCAGGTGCTTCTCCTTTTGAGAAGGGTCTGCAAGCTTCCTCTTCCCTTTGGCAGGCAAAGAGCCCCATCCCTGCCCCCCCCCCACCCTCCGTGCTCCTTTAGCCTCTGCAGCCAGGCGGGTTCCGGGCCCTGTAATGCCCTCCTGCATTGAGAAGCCCTAGGTGAGGGCCTGGGGGGGACGGGACACACAGACCAGCCCTCTGGCGCTGCTTCTTAACCTCTGTAGGCAGCCAGTGAGGGAAATCATCAAGAAGTTCAAATGGAAGAAGCATCACTATGCAGGTGGTCCTCGCTTAACGACTATCCTTTCAGAGACCGTTCGAAGTTACAATGGTGCTGTAAAGATAACTGTACATCCCATTTACGACTATGTATGACCTTCACAGTGTACCTCAGTCATGTGACCACCAGTATGGGCTGTCCTGTGCTTGACCTGTTGTTGCTGTTGTTTTTCCTTTCTCCCCCTCCCCCTTGCACAGCAGAGAGAGAGGGAGGGAGGGAGGGGGGGAGAGAGAGGGGGGGGGGGGGGGGGGGGGGAGGGTGGAAGAGTCAGATTGGAGAGAGAGGTTGGAGAGAGTGGGAGAGATTGGAGAGAGAGGGAGGGAGGGAGGGAGAGACTGATTGGA